GCCGCTGCCGCTCCTGCTCCTGATGTTGTGGCTGTTGTTCCGGGAGCCGCAGCCTCCGCCATTACTGTTTATCCCACACAGCAATGGCCCCGGAACTTCCGGGATCACATAGTTCCGGTCCGGCTGAGGGGAGAAGGCGGCGATGGGAGGGGAACGAGGCCCGGGCGCCCGCTGGGTCCGCGCGAGCCCCGTGTCGCGTCTCGGTGAGCTCTGGCCACTAGGACCGCGGGCCCCGGGCGTGTGCACCCGCGGCCCGCCCCCGACGTCGCTGATTGGTGGAGCTGACGTCTCCGCAGAGAAAGGGCGGGGCTCCGCCGGCTCCATCCAGGTGTGCCGGGTGCTCAAAATCCGGGCGACCGAGGTTCACTAGCAAAGCCTTTCCTCCTAGCCGAGGGAGGGGAAATGGGGCGCCTGGGGAGGCAAGACCTGGGTTTAAATCCGCGCTTTCCCATGTCCCAAGTGTGAGTTTGGGGGCTTGATATTGCTTCTATCTTTCCACTTCTCTCAGATGAGGATAACAGCAGACCCTCCTTCACTGGGATTACTGAGAGTTGTCAGAATCAAAATAGAGATGTCGAGCCCTGTATCAAATAAAGCTAGGAGGGCATGAAGAAGGAGGCTACAGGCATAGATGCCTGATAAAAACTGTCACTAAGCACTGCCGGAACCACAACCTTGCACCTGAAAAAGGTATTTCTGCAAGGATGCCTGTCCCAACAACTACTTGGTTCAGCCTTGGACTGTTGCCTGCCTTATTATTGAACGTGTAACCAAAGATTATTTCAAGAAAATTGTGTGATCCTTATTTTGTCTTTGAGTTTTCCGCTCGCATTAACCTCCTTGTATACACAAATAGTTTACAATGGCACATGCATTCCCATTGTAATGTCTATTCCAGAAAAAACATGCTAATCTTTGGAGAGTCTGTTATTTAGGTTGATAGATTACACTGTGTTATTGCTTAGTTCGTAGTAAACACAAATGCTATCTCCTGTTTCTCCTGTCAGCAGTGTAAAACTTAAGCCAGGTTTCCCCCACCTTGTCCTTTAAAGGAAAATTAATTGAATCACAGTGTGATCAGAATTGGGAAGGCAGCTAATTTCTTGGCCAAGTATTTCACCCTCTTTTTTTATGGTTATTATTTATAAAGATTTTTATAATATTATACTTTCAAGTAATCATTTTTTGGTGTTCTTTTTAGACATGACAGTTGACACATTATAAAGTCCCATTCTTGAGGTTGTACATGATATGCAGTTTTTTTTTGTTTGTTTGTTTGTTTTTTAAGAGAGAGAGAATTTTTAATATTTAGACACAACATCTTTGTTGGCATGTGGTGCTGAGGATCGAACCGGGTTGCACGCATGCCAGGCGAGTGCACTACCGCTTGAGCCACATCCCCAGCCCCATGATATGCAGTTTCACTGGTCATTATTTCAACCTCTTTGGACCCGAGAGAGAATATTGTAATGGCTAAACAAAGCCTCTGCAGTTAGCTTATCTCCATCATCTCTAGGCTTCTCCCCTTCCTAGCTCTGTCTTTGGCAAATTATCTGATCTCTTGATCCTTCTTCTATCTCCTTCTGGAAAAGGAGTAGAAAAAGAAGAAAGAGGGCCTATCCAGAGGTGGTTGTGAAAATTAATGAGAATTCATGTAAAAATAACAACAACAAACAACAACAAAAAAAATACTGAACATAGTGTTCCACCCTACTGTTAATACTTCATAGATAATGAAAAGCTAAAGGTGTCAGGATATTCCAGCTTCCTTCCTTCTTTCCTTCTTTCTTTTTCTAAGTATATCTTAAAAAAAAAAAAAAAAAAAGAGTATGCCCTTGCTGGGCCTATCCCATGCTAAGCAGGCCTCTAGCCCTGAGCTATACCACCAGTTTGTACCTGTCCCCCACTTTTTTTTTCCAGTGCTAGGATAAACCCAGGCCAAAACTGTATTTAAGGCTATGTCCCCATTAATGCCCCCTTATCCATTCAGATGCAGAACTGTGTCCCCATTAATGCCCCCTATCCATTCAGATGCAGCATAGTAATCCTGAGCTTATCCACACATTTCTTCATAAAAGCTTAAAGTGTACTTTTTTACAGTCTGTGTACTTTGAAAAAAGAAAAATCAGCCTGTTGACAATGGGACCATGATGTACCTTGCAAGAAGAGTGGCAAAGCCAATGAAAAACAGTGTCTCTCCCCAAGGCCACACCAGAGCAGCAAAATGAATAGTTCTCTACTTTCGAATAACTACTGCCTTTTTTTTTTAATATTTATTTTTTAGTTATTGGTGGACAACATCTTTGTATGTGGTGCTGAGGATGGAATCCAGGCCACATGCATGTCAGGCAAGCGCTCTGCCGCTCTGCTGCTTGAGCCACATCCCCAGCCCTTAAATCTTTAAATCTTTTTTTTTTCCTTTAATGTGGTGATGGGGGTTGAACCCAGGGCCACATGCATGCTAAGCAAGTGCTTTCCCACTGAGCTATCTCCCTAGTATTACTGCCTTTTTAATGAATGAATTCCCTCTGACATAGAGTACTGGTTGGGTAGTGTCTTTGTCTTGTGAATTCAAAGAAGGAACTCCACAGACAAGAAGGGTGAGAGCAAGGTAACAGGATTTATTAAAGTAATGGAAGGAAACAGAGAAAGGGGAAGGAAGGGGGCAGAGGAAAGGGAAAGGGGGAGGGAGGAAGAGAGAGTGAGCTACCCCAGGTCCCCAGGAAGAGTTGCCAATGGACTTCTGTTGCCTAGAGGTTTATGTGATAAAGTTATAGGGCAGT